TAAATAACTGACTTCAAGACACTGGCCCACTGCAAGTCAAGTGCTGCAACTTGATTTTCTTTGTTGGTATGAGGCAGTTGAAATAGTTTGCAGCCAATTATTTAAGCATAAAACTAACAATGATTTTATTTTTAAATGAACGCAGCTAGTTAAAAAACCTGTACTAACATGGTTGTAAATAGGAGTTATTCATAGGGACAGAGATGTTCAAGATGGAGAGATACTAGATGACCTAGCCAGTATATCCATGTGCCAGTGCAGGATTATTGGCAGCTATAGATAGATAGATAGATAGATATGTATAATGGCGGAGATGTGGAACCTCTCCCACTCCACCAATCAGCAGCAGGGCTTTGAAGGCTAAAACTACTCAGAGCCTCATTGGCTGGGGATGGGCAAATAGGAGTAGCTGACCTCTCCACATCCCAGAGTCCTGGTTGGCTAGAGATCTGGCAGCACCCAGAAAGCCGGGGGGCTATGCCCCCCACTTTTTAACATATGTTTCTTATGTGCTGTGGGAAAAACACGATCATACTGCTAATGGCCAAGATGCACTATGAGATCGGATCAGATGCATTCCTAGATATCCACGGCAATCCTGGATAATCATGTAATGAAAACTGCATTAAGTTTACATTTTTTACTCAGTAGATATCGTATTACTTCTATCTTACAGCCTGTTGATGGTGTTTGTTAGGTTTTCTAAAAATACATTTTTTATTTTATTTTTTATAAAACATCAGAAAAAGCATCATTTTATATGGTAGCTCATAGTGGGGACACATTTACCTCCCTTCAAAGTTGTTTGTTGTTATTTATTTTGTTGACACCTTTTTCCAGGGACATTTAAAATTTAGGGTTACAACTGTTAAAATATGCATTACAGATAAACAAGGATGATTCGATTGTGATGTTATAGAATTGCAAGTTACAGTTCAATCATAATAGTGCAGTATTAATAGTGGAGTACACACAATAAAATTATAAATGCAAGTGACGTACAATACATGAAGTGCAAAAATAAAATGCAGACCCAATGTTTAGAACTAAAGTTGTTGGTTTTTTTGTTTGTTCATATTATAATATACCTTAAATATTATAATGTGGCCACATTTTGTATTCCGGTTATTTATGTTACAGTTGTACTTTACAGGATATTTAAGTAATATTTTAATTCCCCTGCCACGTTGGCCTTGCCCCCCCTCCCCAAACTTCTATAAAGGTTCTGGCATCCTTGGCTGGTAGAAAATACCACTCCTCCTTGCTACTGCCAGTTCTCCACTGATTAGATTGCCAATCGAGAAGGAACCATGCAGGCTGCAGCAGGGAGTTCATGTTGCCACTGCAGGGATACAGCAGGTTGAGACTTCTCCACTAAAGAATCAGCCATTGTTTCAAGGGAAGGAGGAGCTTTAGTCAGGGACAAAGGAGCCAAGACTGGGGCAGGCAAGATTGTTTTTGATTGATGGAGCCTGAGTTCCTTGTAGGTATCTGGGATTTCTGTAACATACCCACTGACTGTTCCTAGCAATTTCAGTGGGATTCTGTATAGACTAATAAAACTGTTGGGAGAAAGCTGTGCCTTGGACTGATTCTTGGGTGAATTCCTGCCTTCCCAAAGGCAGAGAAGAGAGCCACCAGCACAAAGAATTAGACTGAAATGGATGTTAAGGTAAAATGAGTTTCACATAGTCTAGGCCCAAACACCTGCTGACCTAACATATAATCCATAAAAGGCACATACTGAATCCAAAACCCCAGAATGAGGCTCAAAGAGGGCTCCAGTTAGTACTGGAACAAATTAATTAGGAAGGTTGTGGAATCTCCATCATTAGAGGATTTTAAGACCAGGTTAGACAAACACCTGTCAGGTTGGTCTAGCTCAGGGGTCGGCAACCTTTCAGAAGAGGTGTGCCTAGTCTTCATTTATTCACTCTAATTGAAGGTTTCGCGTGCCAGTAATACATTTTAACTTTTTTAGAAGGTCTCTTTCTATAAGTCTATAATATATAACTAAAGTATTGTTGTATGTAAAGTAAATAAGGTTTTTTAAAATGTTTAAGAAGCTTCATTTAAAATTAAATTAAAATGCAGAGCCCCCCAGAGCGGTGGCCAGGACCCGGGCAGTGCGAGTGCCACTGAAAATCAGCTTGCGTGCCGCCTTTGGCATGCATGCCATCAGTTGCCTACCCCTAGTTTAGCTAATACTTAGTCCTGGCTCAGTGCAAGGGATTGGACTGGATGACCTATTGAGGTCCCTTCCAGTCCTACATTTCTATGATTTTTTATGAAATAAAGCCAATCTAGATTCTACCATTAAGGTTATAAAAACTACGAAAGACAACTTACATGGATAGTCTTTAGGCCCCATATATGTTGCAACCATAACTTCATCAGGGGTCCCTAATTACAACATGGTTGAAGTGTAGTTGGGACCTAAGTGTCCCTACAACTAGTTTAAAACTCTGAAACATCCAAAGCTTTAGCCTGGTTATGCTAGATAGGCCCTAATGCACTACAGCTTTTATCCAAATTATAATCAGAGTAAGGGAAAACCCTTGGTGTAACTAGCATTCCTGACTCTATTTATAGTTGTAATGTAAACAGAGCCTTCAATTTAATTAACTTTATGGACCTCCAGTGTAAAGAGTGCATAAGTGAGCAAACAAGCTTCTGTATTCTGGACTACAGAAGAGGGGAGGAATAGCTCAGTGGTTTGAGCATTGGCCTGCTAACTAAACCCAGGGTTGTGAGTTCAATCCTTGAGGAAGGCCACTTAGGGATCTGGGGCAAAATCAGTACTTGGTCCTGCTAGTGAAGGCAGGGGGCTGGACTCAATGACCTTTCAAGGTCCCTTCCAGTTCTAGGAGATAGGATATCTCCATTTATTTATTTATTTTTATTTACTAGAGTCCAGCAATAAACAGGCATTGCTGGAAACTGCTCTGTTGATCTTGGGAGTGGGTAAAAACTATCAACTCATGACATCAAGGGCTAAAATGCTAGATGGGGGAAATCCAAACTTCTCTGCTGGGAGATTTAGCAACAACAAATTCAGGGAATGACCAATCAATTCTATGTATCTCAAAGTTATAGTTAGGTTCAACCTATGTGTCTATATACTGAAGGTTCACAGATTGACTATATCTAAGAATATTGATGTATTTATGACACTGCAGCAATTCTACTGCACTGAAGGCCTTCTGCACCCAGGTGTAGTGGGATGGAAAAGAAGTAACTCAGCTATTCACTGAGGCATCTGTCCACTAGCCAGCTACCTCTTTTAAAATAAGTGACTACATTTCGTTAGCTTTATTTTCTGAACTTTTTAGAGAATTTTTACTTGGTTCTTATCACAGTAGGTGAGTGACATTCTGCCAATAATAATAATGAGTCATCAGGCTTGTTACCTATGCTGTCTAGCTCTTGCACAACAGTATAAAGGATCTCTTAGGGTACGTCTTCACTACCCACTGGATTGGCGGGTAGTAATCGATCTATCAGGGATCGATTTATCGCGTCTCATCTAGACACGATAAATCGATCCCCGAATGCACTCTCCGTCAACTCCGGAACTCCACCAGTGCAAAAGGCGGTAGCAGAGTTGACGGGGGAGCTGCGGCTGTCGATCCCGCACTGTGAGGACCCGAGGTAAATTGATCTAAGATACGTCGAGTTCAGCTACGCTATTCTCGTAGTTGAAGTTGCGTATCTTAGATCAATTCCTCCCCCAGTGTAGACCAGCCCTCACACTACCTTCAAAGCACTTTGCAAACACCAGTTAGGAAAAGTATTAAATACTAATTGATATTGTCTTTATTAGCCTATTTATTCAATTCTGTCTGCTATTACTGCTTGTTGTATTATTCTTACATAAAGCTCCTCAAAGAAAACACACTTTCCACTGATAATATGTCCAGCATAACCCAAAGTGCAAATAATAGAAATATTTCATTGCAAATTAAGAGAGCCATCTACTGGCAACTAGGTGAAACCTTTTAAATTCATTAAGGGCCAAATCTTATCGCCTAACTCATGCAAGTAGAATCATAGAATCATAGAATCTCAGGGTTGGAAGGGACCTCAAGAGGTCATCTAGTCCAACTCCCTGCTCAAAGCAGGACCAATTCCCAACTAAAGTAGTTCCATTCAAGTCAATGGACTATACATGAGCAAAGTAAACTGGATAATAAGGATCTTTGAATGTTGTATGTTCTCAATACATCCCTCAGATCTATCTTGCTCCATTTAAAGATAGTTCTATTAAGACACAAGTAGGGTAACTGATTCAGCAAGTCAGCGACAGAGCTGGGAACAGAACCTAGCTTCCTGCCTCCCTAAATTACTTGCTGGTATTGCTATAATTTAGCACTATTGGAGCTGGGAAATAGTTTGTATGGAAGTTCATGATATTACAATGCTAAAAGTATAAACTCCCTCTGTGACTTTTGTGTGAAGTTTGCTATATGCAAGATGTTTTCTCCAATATCTCTCCTACAGAAATATAACTTGCAATGGCTCTCAACCTTTCAGACTACTGTACCTCTTTCAGGAGTCTGATTTTTCCTGTGTACCCCCAACTTTCACCTCACTTTAAAACTACTTGCTTACAAAAATCAGACATGAAAATACAAAAGTGTTACAACACACTATTACTGACAAATTGCTTACTTTCTCATGTTTACCATATAATTATAAAATACATCAATTGGAATATAAATATTGTACTTACATTTCAGTGTACAGGTCTGTCACATCTTAGGCGCATTTAACATGTGCGGTTTCAGCTTTACGCGGTCGGCAAAAATAAAAACAACAAAAAAGAGAAAAATAACAATTTAAATACTGTTTCTGTAGTGCGGGCGATTCTGCCCGCCATTACACTCAATGTAATTTTGACTATACGCGATTTTCGCTTTAGGCGCTGACTGCGGAATGTAACCCCAGCATAAGATGAGACAGACCTGTATCATAAAGAGAGCAGTATAAACAAGGCATTGTGTGTATGAAATTTTAGTTTGTACTGATTTCACCTGTTGTAAACTACCCCTGGTTGAGAACCACTGATTTAGTGTATGTGAAGCAAACTAATTCCACGTATGTTGTTATTTATGGTTGCCTTGTGTAATTATTTTGTAATCAAAGCCTTGTTTTGCATGATCTGACGGATGCACAAAGCAGAAAATAAATATTTTCATTCTCTTAACCTGGGTGCCCTAGGGATTAATAGTGTATATCCAGATGGCATATTGTGTGTCCTATCAAATTAAGACATAGTTATTAGATTTCATTGTAGGGAGGTGCAAGCAACTAATGTCAGGCAAGGGAATAGTCATTTTATTTGATACATCGAACATCTCTTTGTTCTTATGTTGGTAAATTCTGGCCACCCTAGCTGCTCCTAACTCCGTATGCAAGACCATACACTAACAGACAAATACCCTAATCTGTCTTTGTATCTGAAAATAAAAACAAAGATTAAACTCTAAAAACATATTTTCAAATTAGATTATAAACCATTAAGGGCAGGGACCTTGTTTTCCTCTCTTTGTACAGTGCCTACCACAGTGGACCCCCCACTGCTGAATGGGCCTTTGACAGCTTAGTTCAACAGCAAATAACAATATATAAGACTACAAGCCTGTTTTGATTATTTAAACATTTTATCATCTTCTTCTGGCAGACAAACACATGCAGCATAAATTACGTCCAGTCCGTCCTCGTCTCTTTCTTGAGCTAAAAAAGGACAATAGAGAATTGTATGCTGCAGGTGCAACAGTAAAATAGAAGCTAGCTCTTTTATAACATTTTTAATCAGTTTCTCTCAAAGCTCTTTTGCTATCATTATCCCCATTTTACCAATAGAGAAACTGAGGCAGAGAAAGGCAGTGACTTGCCCTACCAACCTGCATGGTCAGTGGTAAGTAAGAATGGAACCTAGGACACCTGCGTTTGCTCTCCACTGGGTGTATGCTACTTTCATGCTTCATGTGATGCAGCATTTCTCTTGTGTGAATGTAACAAATATGTGTCTAGAGAGAACTTGGGGTCTTTTGCTCTAAAACAGCTCCAATAACATGAGACAAGTAAAATACCTAAGGAGTATATTAGCACTGAGTCTCATTTCCCTATGTAGGTAAGCTGATATGGTTATATGTTTGTAAGGAGATCTGACATTTCATAAAATCATAGAAATTTAGGACTGGAAGGGACATCAATACCTCATTTAGTCCATTCCTCTGCACTGAGACAGGACTAAGTATTATCTAGACCATCCCTGTCTAACTTTTCCTTAAAAACCTCCAATAACTGAGATTCCACAGCCTCCATAGGTAATTTGTTCTAGTTCTTAATTACTCTTATAGGTCACAAGGTTTTTCCTAATGTCTAACCCAGGGAATGGCAACCTTTTAAAGAAGAAGAGCCATTTTTTAATTTTTCTCTTTGACCAAAATATTTTGAGAAATGCATCACATGCAAAGTGTTGGGGTGCAGAAGGGGGTGAGGGCTGTGGGAGAGAGTTTGAGTGCAGGAGGGAGCTCCAGGATGTTGCAGAGTGTAGGGGTGCAGGAGAGGATGAGGGGTGTGGGCTCTGGGAGGGAGTTTGGTGCAGGAGGGGGTTCTGACCTGGGGCAGGGGGTTAGGATACAGGAGAGGGTGCAAGGTGCAGGCTCTGGAAGGTAGGCGCTTACCACAGGCGTCTCCCAGCTGGCAGCGCAGCAGGGCTCAGACAGGCTGCTTGCCTGCGCTGGACCCACGTCGCTCCCGGAAGCAGCTGGCTGCTGGCACGTCTCTGTGCATTCCTTGGGCTCTATAACGTAAGGTATTGCAGGGTCAGATTAAAAAGCGCAAGGGGGCAGCCAAAGAGCCGCAGGTTGATGAACCCTCTAAGCAAAATCTCCCTTGCTTCAATTTAAACCAACTACTACTTGTCTTCTCCTCAGTGGTTAAGGAGAACAATTTATTACCCTCCTTTTTATAAAAAACTTTTATGTACCTGAATACTGTTAATCATGTGCCCTCTCAGTCTTTTCTCCAGACTAAACAAACCCACTTTTCCAATCTTTCCTCATAGGTCATATTTTCTAGCCCTTTAATCATTTTTGTTGCTCTCCTCTGGACTTTCTCCAATTTGTTCACATCTTTCCCAAAGTGTAGTGCCCAGAACTGAACACAATACTTTAGCTAAGGCCTTATCAATGCAGAGTAGGGTGAAAGAATTACTTCTCATGTCTTGCTTACAATACACTTGCTAATACATCCTAGAGCAATGGTCATTTTTGGCAACAGTATTATATTGTTGACTCATATTTAGTTTGTGATACATTATAGCCCCCAGATCCTTATCTGCAGTACTCCTTCCTAGGCAATCATTTCCCATTTTGTATTAGTGCAATTGATTATTCCTTCCTAAGTGTAGTACTTTGCAATGTCCTTATTGAATTTCATCCTATTTATTTCAGACCATTTCTCCAGTTTGTGAAGATCATTGTGCATTCTAATCCTGCATGGTGTTTTTTCCAATCCACAGGGCTTGCAGTATTGTTCACAAACTTGGTATTGTTCACAGACTTTAAGTGTACTTTCTATGTCATTATCCAAATTAAGATATTGTATAGAATCAGATCCAGGATAGATCCCTGCTCTCTGAGTATTCTTTTCCAATCTGTTGTACGCTCACCTTATAGTAGTTTTGTCTAGGCTGTATTTCTCTAGTTTGTTTATGAGAAGATCACATGAGGCTGCATCAAAAGCCCTATTGAAGTCGAGATATATCACATCTACTGCTTCTCCCCACCTACAAGGCTTGTTACCTGTCAAAGAAGGATATTAGATTTGTTTGACATGATTTGTTCTTGACAAATCCATATTGACTTATCTTATTTTCTTCTAGGTGCTTACAACTTGATTGTTGATTATTTGCTCCATTATCTTTCTGGATACTGAAGTTAAAATGACTGGTCTATCATTTCCTGGGTTGTCCTTATTCCTCTTTTTGTAGATAGGTACTATATTTGTCCTTTCCCAGATCTCTCCCGTCCTCCACGAGTTCTCATAGATAATCGCTTATGGCTCAAAGATCTCTTCAGACAGTTCCTTAAGTATTCTAGGATGTATTTCATGAGGCCCTGCTGAGCTTAGGACATCTAACTCATCTAAGTAATTCTTAATTTGTTCTTTCACTATTTTACTCTAAGATTCTACCCTATTTATATGGATGTTCACTATGTTAGTTGTCCAATCACTGCTAACTTTGATGTTGAAAACTGAAACAAAAAAGGCATTTAACACTTTGGCCATTGCTGAATTTTCTGTTATTGTCTTTCCCTCCTCATTGAGTATTCAGTCTACCTTGTTCTTGGTCTTCCTCTTGCTTCCAATGTATTTGTAAAATGTTTTCTTGGTACCCTTTAAGTTCCTGGCTAGTTTAATCTCCAATTTTTGCCTTGACCTTTCTAATTTTGTCCCTGAATTCTTGTAGTTTTTTTTTTTAATATATATATTCATCCATTGTAATTCAACCTCATTTCCACTTTTTGTATGACTCTTCCTTGAGTTTCAGGTCACTGAAGATTTCCACTTCCTATCTTTCATCCAGTAGAAGGGAGTAGCGCAAAGAGAGGGCATATAATGTATTCTTTATGCACTCAAACCTGCCACTAGTGGAATGGGAACACAAGAATGCAGGAACCTATTACTTATATAGTATCTTTAGAAGAATTGACAATCCCATACATTCAAAAATGATGAGTCAGATGCCCAAAAATCATGACATTGGGCCAAAAATTGCGAACTATTTTTAAAATATTATATTGTTTATTGTCCTGTCTTTCGATTTTTTTAACTTCCTCTGCACCCCCTCCCTCTCCCCTGCTCATGTATGTTACAAATACAGTGTCGCCATATCTCCCAAACTTTAGAGTAAGGTGATTTTTGGCCCCTGCTACAGGAGCTCTTACTAGAAGACTCAGTTGAGATCAAATAACAAAGATTTATGTTAAAATGCCACCTGATGGTGCAGAGCTTCCAGCTTCTCCTCAGAACCCAAAATGTTTACTAATTCTGTGTTCCACTGCCTAGCCCAGCAATTAATTCTGCCCCACCAGTCATCGGCACCTTGCCCCTCAGCACATCTCTACTCCTGCAATTGTGAGGGCTTTTCACCCCTGCTTCCAGGATTGGGCTGGCAGCTGCAGCAGGGGCCTATTCTCTCCCAGACTTGATGTTACACTGGTGGAAAGGGAAAACAGACTGACCCATTTTTCAGAGGGGAAAAAAAAGCAGAACTACCTTGAACTGCTGGACAGTTTCTGCTTCCTCCTCCCTTGCTGTGAAAATGTTATGGGCTGTTCCCTCTCCCCACCCACATCTCTTCTCTTCTCCTGGGGCGGGGGCACCAGTACTATCTTCCCCTGCAGCAGTTCTGATTGGAAGGCAGTGGTGCCTAGTGGATAGGGCACTAGACTTGGACTCAGGAACCCTACAGCCAAGTCTTGGCTTTGCCATGCGCCTGCTGGGTAACTTAGGCATGTCATTTCACCCTCGGGTACTTGGGTTTCCCATGTATAAAATGGGGGGAAATGATACTCACCTCCTTTGTAAAGAACTTTGAGCGCTTTCTAATGAAGATGCAAGAGCTAGGTGGTATTATGATTGGCTGCTCCTCCACAGGAGACAGGTAGGTAGGGAAGGCAGCCAATCAGAGGAGTGATGGCCAGTGATGAAAATCAAGCTTCTGGAGTTATTGCTAGGCTGGCTCCAGCAAGGCCGACGTTGCATTATTGGCGATAACACCTGACACGTGCTGACGCTGCTCTGGTGTATTTAACATTTAGCCTTTCGCCTCCAGGAGCTGCCAGTCTGTTTATAGGAGGGCGGGGCTGCAGGTGCAGCGCAAGTACCGACCCCATTTTCAGCGGCACGTGCATTACCACTGGCACGCCCGCCCTCAGCGCCTCCTCGCCTTCGCCTGTGGGGCTTTGGCTGCCAGGCTTGGTCTCTGCCAAGGGGCGGCGCCGGCGACGCGGAGCAAAAATGCTGTAACCGCAGCCGACCACGAGGCCGGGGGGAGGAGGGGAACATACACGACTACCCCAGGGAATACGGCTCCCGGCATACCGCGCGCGCGCGCTGTTTCTCCCCGCCGCGAGCAGTGCATGCTGGGACTTGTAGTCTCTGGCGTGTCCAGCGCGGCTGAAGGCGTCCCGTGACCGGCGGCCGGAAGCGGAGGCCCCGGAGGCTCTGGACTCTGGAGCGCTAACGGCTCCTGCTTTTCCTCCTGAGTTGTACGGCGGCCGCGAGGGGCCAGCCAGCGCGCGCGGTGCTGGAGTGAGCGGGCCGAGCGGGGAGGCTGCGGCTCCGCGCGGGGTGAGCGGCTCCCCGTTCCCGTTCGTCAGCTGGGGCGGAGGGAGCGCCCGGCCCCTTCCCGCGGGCTGGAGGGGGCGAGCGTGGCTCCTGCGGGCCACCATGGGTTCGGGGCAGTGGGCGAGGGTGGAGCGCGCGCTCCTCGGGGCACAGAGCCGGCCAGCGCCCTTGAGGGGTGGGAGTGGTTCCTGAGGGAGCCCCTTCCAATGGGGCGTGTCGTGGTGGGGGAGCTCCTAATCCCTTCCCCCCCAGCTGTGGGGCGAGCTCCTCTGTGACCCCTTGCGGGGATGGAGAGAAGCGCCTCTCAGGTGGGGTGTCCCCCGGAAACTCCTGAGGGTCTCGCCAGGGTGACTCACGACAGGGCAAGAGCCCCTCCTGGGTGCCATGGGTGGCTGGCTGGGTGCCCCATGGTGCATGCCTTGGTGCCGTAGGGAGGGTGGCATTGGTTCCCGCAGTGAGTGTGGGAGAGGGATGCTTAGTGAGAGGTATGTGTCTTCCTGGCTGATTTAGTTTTGGGGTATGGGGAGCAGGTTAAGATCTTAATTAACATGCTTTTCCATCTAGGGGAGCAATTCTCCCCAAAGGGAGGGAGGCAAAGAGACTGCCCTGGGTGAGGCGGTACTTGGGGGTGGTTTAATTATCTCAGCAGGAGAGCGCTCTACCGCCGGCATAGAGCGGCTACACGGGAGACCTTACAGCGGCGCAGCTGTGCTGCTGTAAGGTCTGTAGTTTAAACATAGCCTTAATGCAGTACGTCCATTCTACAAGGGCTGCAAACTTTGTGTTTTTTAAACAGGAGCTTAAATTAAGTAATAGTTGATGGCTTAGGCCTCACCAGAGAGAGCTGCTCACTTGCTGTTGATGAGTGAGCAAGCAAAGTTTTCAATACCTTCAAGGGTTTTTAAAAAATTAAGTCAGTACGTGTACTTTGATATTTCATTATTGTACTCTTCATCCATCTTTTCCCCTTATCCACGCTTTATCGTTCAAAGCAAGAACCTGTGAACTTTGTTCATAAAGTGCATGTGTATCTATGATGCCTTCTAAATACCTAGCCAGTTATATTTTGTAGTACAAAATAAAGTTGTGAATAGCTCTTTATGCTTAAGAGCATAAAAAAATGCAGTGTAACAGCCTTCCTGCTTTCAACAGTCCGATACTAACATTCAAGAGCCTTTAGAGCAAACAAATCCCAGAAGAATCAGTATCTCTCTTCTCTCCATGAAGTTACTAACAAGGCTAGTTTGCAGAACTAGCACTAATTTCTGCCAAATTAAGTACCAAGGGATAATCTGAAACCATTCCTAAAGGTCTGCCTGTCAAAACCTTTTACTCTGCATTAAATCCTGAATGCGTAAAATGTTCTACCTTTGTCTGAGATAAAAGCTTGTTCTCTTCAACTGTCCTTAAAGGATACTGTTTTGAAATACCCTTTACATTTATCAGAGTGTAATTTATTGACTGTCTGAATATGTGGTTTTTGGTAGAAAAGTGACTGTAAAAATGATATCTTGGCATTCCGTATTTAGTCTCTGTTAATGACTTCCATATGAAATTTACATACGGTTATTACTGCAAGTGCAATCTCTTTTCTGAAAAACAAACTGGGTTCTTTTTTCTTCTCACATCACCAATAATAAAGATCCTGGAATCCAAAGTTTCTCTAGCGATCTCATTGGTGATGCATAAAGCAGAGTAGATTAGAGCTTGCTCTTCTGTAGCTAAATTAGTTAGCTAATAAATTAGGTTGTCAGTAAAAACTTTCCACAGTAACTAGGAGCCTGATACCACTCAGATAATTTTGTGTGTATGGTATCTTCTGGCACTCTGTACTGTAGGATTATATATTATAATTATAGGGGAGGGATAGCTCAGTGGTTTGAGCATTGGCCTGCTAAACCCAGGGTTGTGAGTTCAATCCTTGAGGGGGCCACTTAGGGATCTGGGGCAAAATCAGTACTTGGTCCTGCTAGTGAAGGCAGGGGGCTGGATGGACTCAATGACCTTTCAAGGTCCCTTCCAGTTCTAGGAGATAGGATATCTCCATTAATTTATATTAATAATGTTTCTTCTTAGACAATTTCTCAAAATGATAATAAACCTTTAGTAAAGAACAGAAGCTTTAGGTTTTAGAGGGGGCTTGCAGCAAGCAGTCTCTGTTGGGCCTGATTCTCTTCTCACACTGATCTTTTATTGCTATAACTCCACTGATTTCAGTAGAGTTACTCCTGATTCCTATCAACATGAGAATTGAATAACCCAGTGTGTTTTCTCCCAAAGTGAAAGAAATTTGGCTATTTGAACTTGATATTCTTTTCAATATTATTCGAAACAAAGGAGGATTTCTAGGAAAGAAATGTACAAGGTGTCCCGGAGTCCCCGGGCGATGCTCTGGAACTGCTCCCTATGAAGCCAGTCAGGACTCTGGTGGTCTCCTCTCTGTGAGCAGACTGTCTTCAGGGCAAGAAGCTCACAAGGCTTCACCTTCCTGGGTCTGACCTTGGAGCATTCAGCATCCTCTGCCCCTCCGTGCGCTTCCCACAGCGAGTCTGCCCAGGTGGGGTCCTGGGGAAGCCACAGGGTCCTGCACCCCAACTTTGCAGTCAGAGGTGACTCTTAGCGAGCCAGTAAAACAGAGGTTTATTAGATGACAGGAACATAGTCTAAACAGAGCTTGTAGATACAGAGAACAGGACCTCTCAGCTGGGTCCATCCAGGGGGGCAGCGAGCCAGACACCCATGTCTGCACTCACTCCACATCCCCAGCCAGCCCCAAACTGACTTCCCCCTCCAGCCCCTCCTCCTCTGGGCTTTGTTCCTTTCCCCGGACCAGGAGGTCACCTGATTCCTTTATTCTCCAACACCTTTAGCTATCCCCTTGCAGGGGGGAAGGGCCCCGGCCATTAGTTGCCAGGAGATAGAGTGTCGGCCATTTATGTGCACTGGTCCTTTGCTCTGCAACAATCTCACCCCCTAGAGACTTAAGAAATGCATAGGGGAAACTGAGGCACCCACACAGTATTCAGGGGAAACATTAAGAACAGTCCCACTTCGTCACACGAGGGTAAAAAAGAAAAGTGTACCAGTGTGGCTAGCATCTTTTAGGGGAAAACAAGATTTATGTTTCTCTTCAGAATACTAGAGTTTCTTTCATTCCTGAGGTTAGGCAGAGAGAGCTTTTATAACTATAGAGGCCATTGGTTGCCATAAATGACCATCCTTGATTGATCTTATGGGAGCAATAACAGAATCATGAAGAAGCTAATCTCCAGCTCCCTCAGATAATCACGACTGTTATCCCTGTTTCTTGTCCACACAAAGTCTCTTCGTTTCTTTCCTTCTTAATTTTCCTAAAAAAAAACCCCAACACACACACACCAAAAAAAACCCCTAAAGGACCTGGTTAATAAAGAAAAGGCTGTTGAGTTGTTACTCTTTATGAAGCTTTGTTTGCTGTGTTTCCATTAGTAAAATAATCGTTAATTTATTTCTTGGTTTATGCAACTGAACAAAATGAAAACTAATACCAGAATTGCCCCTTTCTGTCGGGGAGAAAAAAACTTAGAAGGGGATGTTTGACAAGTTTCCACCTAAATCATTCCATGGATGAGGAGGAAGAAAATAACATGACCATGTTTACGCTCTTGTGCCATAGGCTGCATTTTCACCCCTAACTGTACAGAGGTCTGGAAACAACAATGCTTTGTAACTTCTCAGTGGTTCTGGGGACCTTGACATCTCTTCTCCATCCTTATCACTGAGATAACTGCCATCGAAGTTATGCTGCCAGGACTTTCCTTTGTGTTGGCTGCCCAGGGTGGAGGGAGAAAGGTAATACAGCCTCGTCCCACTCATTTCTGTTCAGATCCTGACCCCCCATGGAGAGCCTCTCATGGGAAGGGGAGTTTGGGCTTTAGATTTCCAAACTTTTAAAGGGAGGAAAGTGGATTTAATTTCTGTAATGGTGTTGCCCATGTCTCAAGTCATTTAGTTATAATAGTAAGTCCTCTTGTTTGATAAAACACTGAGTGAATTATTCTACTTGGCTACAAAGAGGGCAATGACTATAATGTTGTACCTATAATGCCAATTTCGAGGCTAGAAAAGTATGGTCTTGCAGCAGGGACTGTTAATTCTTTCAGCCTTTTGTTAAAACTTTTGGTCTACTTAGCATGGGCAAGAAAATGCTCCTGTACCAAGTATTTTAAAGTAAATGTATTTCTGGTGAAAGGCGCCAGCTTGACAACTATAGAAACTGAAGTCCTCTAATTATTGGCAAAGACATGTGCAATTTGTCAAAAGCAACCTTTCCTTTTAAGTGGCACTGATGGACAGACTACCAAGGGAGTTCTGTTCAGTTGTCTCAGACCTCTTAGGAGAAGAAAAAAATCAAGTGAGGATAGTATGCAGCTTTTATGTATTTATGTATGTGGAATCAATTTGTGCTGCAGCTTCTAACATGTTAGTAAGTATGCACTGCATTTCTCATTGTTTGATTATTCCAGGAACCAGTTTCCCTTTCTTGACAACTTGTAAGTAGCTTTTTAAAACATTAAGTGAATTAGTTTGCAAGGTAATTGCTGCTCCCACCATTTTATGTATTCGATCTAGTTCTGTTCCTAAAATGATCACATTCTAGCAACATAACTAGACCAAATACATAAAATATATGTATGAAAAACCTTTTTCTTTTTTATGTATTCGATCTAGTTCTGTTCCTAAAATGATCACATTCTAGCAACATAACTAGACCGAATACATAAAATATATGTATGAAAAACCTTTTTCTCTTTTGTACAAAACAAGATAAAAGTAGAAAGGAAACTTCAATTAGCCTGTACATGTGATTAGAAGTGATGTAAGGTACACTACAAAAGATCACTAGAAAATATTGATGGAATAAATACAGTTGCAAAATAAATTTAATTTTACAATCTTCTATAACAAATTGTTTCTATACAAAATAGTCTCAGTTCTGTTACACATAAAACCTGTTTTCAGTAACTATTTTCTACCTTTTCCTCCACAAGCTCAACATCTTCCTCTTTGTCTTCCATCCCACCTCTCTCCCCACTCCCACATCTCCTCATCAATACACACATACACTCTGCATTGGAAAGGTCTTGTTTATCTGAAACCAACACTGCAGTAAAAAAGGGGCAGGGTATTATTTTTATGTGCTCAGAATCCTAGATGTGAGCAAAATAAACTAAAACTCTCTTATATAGGGATTCAAGCATTCTGCTCTCACTAGAAATTGAAACTTGAGAGTGCGGTCACATACACTAGTCTGATCTGTGGTCTAGATCAGTTTGTGGAATAGAGAGCCGATGGAGGACATTTTATTTAGCTTTGTACACTAGTTTTATTGTATATTTGGAATTAAATGCTTTTATTACATTTTCCTAGAACATATGATTGTTTTTCAGTCCCTGGAAGTGGAGGATTCTGAAAGTTTATTATTGTTTCTGGTCATATTAGGTTTAAGTACCTAAGCATGCTGGTGATACTATACAATGTATACTCTATGCCCATAGTTATGTTTATTTTTTGTTTTTTGCAGTAACAAATTCATGTCTTGCAAGACAGTGATGGCTTTTTCTTTAGAATTTGAATATGGAGGCCACAGGGACAGATGAAGTGGAAAAGCTAAAATCCAAGTTTATGTCTGCATGGCACAACATGAAATACAGTAAGTGAAACAGTGGATAAAATCCAGACTCCAGTGAAGTCAATAGTTTGCCATTGACTGCGGGGGGGAGCAAGATTTCGCACAGTAAGTGTACTCGTATGTGTATTAATCAAAAATGTAACTTGGACTTTGAAACCAATTTGTACGTCAACAATAAACTAAACAATCTGGGAAAACAAACTCATTTAGATGTTCTCTTTCAATTTAAATATTTTAAGGATTTGTTTTTTCAATGACTGACTTAGATCAGAAAAACAGATGGGCATTAAGCACAGATGACATGACAGTTTTGCGTAGGATCTTAAACAGAGAAGTTGTAAAATCAGGCTATGTCTAAGACCACAGCAGCACAGCTGCAGCTATGCCGCTGTAGTGCTTGTAGTGTAGATGCTTCTTACATCGATAGAAGAGGCTTTTCTGTTAGGCTATGTCTTCACTACCCGCCTGAATCGGCAGGTAGAAATCAATCTCTCGGGGATTGAATTATCGCGTCTCGTCGGGACGTGACAATCGATCCCCGAATCGACACTTGTACTCCACCAGCGCAGGTACGAGTACGCGCTGTTGACGCGGGAGCCGCGGAGGTCGATTTGCCGCCGTCCTCACAGCGGAGTAAGTTGGCTCAGATACGTCGAATTCAGCTACGCTATTCGCGTAGCTGAATTTGCGTATCTTAAATCGACCCCCACCCCCGTAGTGAAGACGTAGCCTGAGTGTAATTAATCCATCTGTCCAAGAGGTGGTAGCTAGGTTGACGGAAGAATGTATCTACACTGTAGAGTTAGGTCTACATAAACATGAGACTCAGGGCATGAAATTTTTCACAGCCCTGAGTGACAGAGATAGGTCTATCTAATTTTTAGGTGTAGACCAGACCTCAGTATGAGCAGTTCTCATTGGTAGTGTATTTTGATAAAGTTAAGACTCTGGGTCAAATCCTGTCTCCATCAAAGTCAATGGGGTATGGATTTCACTCTTTGTCTCTTATCTCTCAAAACAATTCAGAAGTAGGCAAATCTCAAAACTTGGTCACGAGGAATTAGTTAGCTTTTTTAACCCTCATCCTCCCAACCCCAAATCAGCCTTTATCTTAATCTTCCCATTTCCACTGAAGGCCTGAGGTGAAAATTCACATCTTACGTCAGCGGGAGTTATTTTTGAGTGAAGACTGCAGGATTTGGGCCTAAATGGGGGAGAAAAAAAGTTGGTGCAATGTTTCCTAATATTAAATATTCGAATCAGGACGTGCAACAGTTAAGATTAAACATGCATCCTTAATTCTACCCTTTGTGGCTATATGTTACGCTATTGTGTTTCTCAATGAAATATGTAAGTGTTGAAGTTCTGACAGCAACATTAACTCACCCATTTTGCGCGGGTATATTTTTTTTATTCCTGTTTTTCGTAAATATGCATCTTAATCTTGTGACAGTAAAACTTGCATGATATTCAGTGTGGCTGTTTTAGTATTGCTGTTGGAAGCTTAACTTGAGTATTTTTAAAAAAATCACAAAATTAAACTGTATAGTAATGAGTTCATGCAAAAAGGCAGAGTTAACAAGTTCAGACTTAACTTTTGTATTTCATGACTTCAGTGCTTACCTATGCAATTTTCAGGTTGCATAACATCTTATGTGGGTGATATTGAATTCACAAGGGCTAAGTTATTTTAAGCTTGTTGACTATAAATCCATTCGATGTGTCTTAAAACAGTAGAATCTGTTTGTATTATTCAATCTATAAAATAATTCCAATTCAATGTGGTGTTTCCATGTTCTTACTAACTTGTGTGACTTTTTGTATCGTCAAATGCTTTTGGAAGTGTTTTGAAATATTTCAGCCACAAACTTTTGTTTGCTTTGTATCTCTTTTAGGTTGGGTATTGAAAACAAAAACTTACTTTAGCAGAAATTCTGCTGTCTTCTTGCTGGGAAAATGTTACCATTTCAAGTCTGATGGTAAGTGTAAAGGATTTAATTATTTCTGATACCATTTTGGCACTGTTCTGTGACATCTTTGTAATCATCTACCAAAATCTTTATTAATAGAGAATTAAAGTTCACAATTTAAATATGGAAAAGTTAGAATATTCTCAGTTAAGTTTCCAAAACCAGTCTTAATACCTGCCCCATCCCACTGTTCACACATAGGCCAGAGAACCTAGCCATTGTCAAATCAGACTTCATCCTCTGTGTGCATAAATTTTATAACCTATGCTTGAGTTTACTCATCTGTGAAGTGGGTACTGAGGCTTAATCAAAAGTACTGCATAAATTCAGCCTTGTTCAGGAGAATGAAATGGTAATACCAACATCAAAGTAACACCTTCCTTGATGATTTCCTAGTCTCTGTTAACTCTTCCCTGTGAAAATTTGCCCTCTTATGGGAACCGTTTTCCCAGCATGCCTTTCTTGGTTTGGCCACTTATATTTAGCAGGACCAAGCAGCTGCAGCCTTAAAATGGCCGTTTCAATTGACAGCTGCTGCCTGAATCATTCTTTGTTTCAGCTGCTCCATACCTTTTATGTTTCTCCTCAGCTTTCCCTAGTTGTTGCTGAGTTGATACTGGAGTGTCCTAGGAAATTCCTATTTTTTAATAGTATAATTTTATTTTAATTATATTAACAAAAGCCCTGTGTCAGTTAATTTCAAAGCTGTAACTTGTGTTATGTTTGTCTTGCAGAACCCAGTGAACTCTCTCCAGATGGATCCTGCTTGGATATAGTCGACAAAGTCATTTCTGGAAACGTAGAAGAGTTTCGTAAAGATTTTATTTCTAGAATATGGTTGACTTACAGAGAGGATTTTCCTCAGATAAAAGAATCTGCTTTCACAACAGACTGCGGTTGGAGTTGTACACTGAGAACTGGCCAGATGCTGCTAGCTCAAGGGCTTGTGCTTCATTTTCTTGGTAGAGGTAAGCATGAAGAGTAGATCATTTTTGGTTTTGTCAGGAGGTAGAACCAAGCATCAGGATGCAGGTGGTCCTTTGTTAATGATGAGGTACATGTGTCAGCTGCCGCATATGCATCCACTAAACTTAGCTAGCTAAAGTGCTTGCTTGCTTTTGATTCTGGACTGCTTTTTAAGAATATAGGAATTTCTTTACTGAATTAGACTAATGGTCTGTCTAGTCCAGGAACCAGTCTCTGATGATGGTGAATATTAGCTGCTTCAAAGGAAGCCGCAGAAAACCCTGTAGAAGTTAATTTTCGTTGTGGACAAAACTCCTTCTTAACCCTTATTATTCAGAGGTTAGCTTACGGCTGAAGTATAAGAGTTTATGTCCATTTCAAAACTCCTAACTAAAAAATAAAACAAAACACGCACCTTTTACTTCAGTAACTGCATCTTCTTGTTATCCATGTAAATGTTCAATCCTTTTTAGAGGTTCTTGACCTCAGTGATATCTTGTGGTAATGAGTTCCACTGCCTAATTGTGAGCTGTGTGCAGAAAGTATTTCCTTCATCAGATTTAAATTTGTCATCTTTCAATTTTCTTTAATTCTTGTATGAGAGAGGGTTAACAGAAGTTTCTAATCTATTTTCTGCATGATTCACTATTTTTTTCCCCTGGTGGGGCTTGGAAACCTTTATTTTTCTGCTTCCCTTTGTGTTTTCTTATCTTAACCTTGTTCTTTCAAGATATACTGTCTTACAGACGCAGTCTCCTTTGGGAAAAGTGGATTGCTTTCTGGGGTTGAGCATATTACCTCTCATGCTCTCCCCAGTCTTTTCAAACCCAAGAGGCGATAGACTGGAAATACACAGCTGTTTCCTGCATGGTAGTTTATTTCAGTACCACTAGGTCTGCAAGCCAGCCACCTTCTCAGTATTTCATCCTCTTTCCTTCCTTCCCTTCTATAATACATGTATCCGTTCCCTGTTGATCAATTCCTGTGCTGGGTTGGCTGCCCCCATTGTCAAAGACCTTTCAACCCTGTCAGTCCCAAACCCTGGTTTGTTGCAAGGGAGTGTGTTGTTTTGTTTACTCAGCCATTTGGTGGTCTATGAGGGCTGTATTTATAACTAACATACAAAACATAGCATTCTGAAGGTCCAAGTCAGTAATATTTTGCAAATATTATGCAAGTCAAGAACCAAAATCTTGTATGGTTCTTATAAAGCCCTAAAACCAGCACACCAGAAAATGCAATTTTGACTATTCTTTAGTGGTCCAGTAGCAAAATTGTTCTGTGGAGTTGACATATCTAGCATTCTTTTTGTTGTAAGCACTTCGTCTGCTCATAAAATATTATTTTGTTCCATTTGCCCCAACATCCAAACATATGAAATTATTGTGTTTGGAGATGGCTTATCCCCTGATCCTACCCCAGTTTCCCCATAAATACAACCTTTGTTGCACCTAAATCTTTTATTTAAACTTTTTTAAAACCCGGCACAATCTGGATAGAACACTAAACATGAATATGCAGGTGAGGCTGTAGGAGCGGCCCAGTTTAACATTACCAAAACAAAAGGATCTTGACTAGTCTTAATCTAAAGTGTATTTCTTAAAAACTGCACTTAAAAATAATTCTTGTACTATCCATGTATCCTCACTTGTGAGTCATGTGCTGCACTACTTTGGAGCTACCAAGCTCCCGCATTTCTGTGGTAGCCCATCTGTATAGGGAAAGGAGACATGTCTGGTCTACATGAAAGTCTTCTGTCATCACCCTGCCCTCAAGGGATAGTGAATCTTCTTTAGAAATGCTTTTGGTGAAATTGGGGTAACTGAAATGTGTTGTATTTACATCTTCATATGAAATCTTTCATTGGTTGTGGCTTCTTTTCTAGAGATTTTTTTAATAGTATTTTCTTTTAACAAAAAAACCCCCACTTAAATGCCACTAATAGCTAAAATTGTGCAATGCCACAGCTACATGAAATGCTCCAAATACCGCAGAATGATGTTGTCAATACGTTTCGGTTTTTAATTTTTATGTTTTGGAAGGTTTTACATTTAATTTTGTGGAATGTACACAAACATGGCAGCTTGAGATGTCAAGGTTCAGGAACAGCTAAGTCCATTTCATTGTTCTGTTACATTTACATTTCCATCTTCCTTGATTTCGGAATCTTCCTCTGAAGGGTTTAGTAAGTCACTTCCTATGACTGAAATCTGTTTCTCTTATACATATTAAAGCAGATGTTGTCAAACTGTGATCCATGGTACACTTGTTAGTGCCACAGAGCTGGCAGCTCACAAGGTCTTGTGTCTTCTCATTTCCAGTAGTTTTTACAGGCCTATTGGCTCTTTATTGTAAAGAAGAGACTGGAGGTCTGTAAAAGCATCTACAAGCAAGGAGGAGGATCAGCCAAGTTGGCTGCCTCTACCAGTAGCAATGCTGCTACTACCAGCCTTATTCCAGCAACTGCCGTTTTAACGGTGATTCTCCTCATGATGCTTCCCATCTCCAGAATGCCCCTCCTATTTGTCACCTCCCAAAGAGCTGTACATCCACAGACCTGCTTTCTGAGCTAACAGTGACAACCCAGACATGATACACACCTGTACCACCATTTATAGTCCCTTCAATGGCTTCCTCAATTTTCCTCTGCCCACAATCTATTTGGTATTTGCATTGGACAAAGTGCAGTAGAGGACATTATATTCAGACACAGTACACATTCTGGTAACTTTAGTTCTTGAAGATGTGATGCATTTTAAAGCTAAATAAAACTTGAGTTTAAAAATAATTGTGCAATCTTACTGTATTTTATGTACAATTTACAAATGATCTGTGAAATGTTCACTTTACACCTACCACCATAAAATAGTGAAAAGACACTACTTACAAATTTTAAAGTCAGGTGGCAATATTCTGATGTCAGCGTTATCATTTCTATTTGTATCACTTGCACAGGGTATTTCTGTTAATCAATAGCCTTTGTACTTTGTGGAAAGCTGAAGCTAAATTCTGCCTCAGGACTGCTGGATTCTGTGGCACTCTGATGGAAGTTCCGTGTAGCAATTTCAGATTAAACTGAAGATGAGATTTTTATTAATATGAATAATGCAATTGGTACTGTTTTTTTATTTAGATACTAAATTCAGTGTACATCATCCCCATAACTTAAGTTTGGATATGCAGTAGAATTTTGTATTGAAGATGCATACCTGCATCATGGTAGTTATTGGGAGAAGCTGGAGGAGGTTATAGCATCTGGCCAATGTCAGTTTAGGCTTTTAGCAGCTGGGCAGACATAGCAAGCAGTTTGACATTATGAGCTGAGAACACTAAGTGCAGGTTTATATTAAAATGATCATCAGTGAAATAATTTAAGTGACATTTTAAATAGTCCTCTTTAGGTATGTGGATTCTACTCCATTCATTTCACTGGGCTCATACCTTTTTAGAGCTGTGTCAGGCTTTCTGCAAATTCAGGGATACAGCACTGTATTGGTGTTCACACTTATACATTTTCAGATTTGTTTTCATAACTCTGAAGGCTAGAACACAATTGTTTTTAAGTGAAAGGCACATAGATCTGCAGCAGGGATTAATTCCTTGAAAAGTTCAGCAGAGTCATACAGTACTTGGATATCATCTGTCACTCAGACTCATAGACGTTTGAAGGTTTCTTCACAAACCCTTGCTGCAGGGAGTTGTTGGGACCTATGGGAGGGACCCACAATACACTAGTAAGAGAAGCCTTAGTGAATCATTAGTGTTGTATTGACATGCTGAACCAGTTTACGCCAACTAGGCTAGTAAGGTAGACACTGCATGTAAGGCGAACTGTTACAGAAAAAGCAGTACCAGAAACATGGACAGGAGATGCTTTGCTATAATAGCTAACCTTGAAACAGTTCTGTTCTCTAGTATAGACAGACGTTACAATTTACTTTGTTTGACAAACAAAATTATGAGAATTCTTCTCCATAAACTTGTCTTAGGAATCAACAAACAAGAAAGAAAAAGCATCAGTCATCAAAGGCTTTGACTCGGATAACTATCAGTTGAACCTTTTTACATGTATTAAATAGTTAACTTATTGTGTTGATATGTAAATTCCCCTAATCTGTGTCTTGTAATTATACCCTAACTGGCTAAGTCTGCAGAGTCCACTATATCCTCTCCTGGAAAATCCTGCTAGCATTAATGGCTAAGAAAGAAATGTAATGTGGCTAGTGTCTTCCTTTCTTCCTCCTTTCTCCCACACAAATAAAAATAGCACAACCATATTATACTGAGTTGACTTTTTTTTGCCTATATTCTTATCAGCAGCATTTGCATGTCTGTAAAACATAGATTATTGGTCTTATTAAAAATTGGCACTTTTTTGGTAATTATACAAAAAACTTACTGTTAAGAAGTGTAAAACATATCTTTAAAAAATACTCTGTTGCAGACTGGACCTGGCCGGGTGCACTGAACATTGAAAATTCAGACTCTGAATCATGGACAAGCCACACAGTAAAAAAGCTGACTGCATCATTTGAAGCATCACTTACGGGGGAGAGAGAACCCAAGGTCCTGTCAAACGATCATAAGGAAGCACTAAAGAGAGACTGTGATGACAGTGAAATGAGAGATGAAGTTTATCATAGAAAAATAATCTCTTGGTTTGGAGATTCTCCACCCGCATCTTTTGGCTTGCATCAGCTAATAGAATATGGAAAGAAGTCTGGGAAAACAGCTGGAGACTGGTATGGGCCTGCTGTAGTAGCACACATTTTAAGGTAAAAATATCTCTAAATTATCCTTCATTATTACAATGCCTTAAGTGTTACGGAAGAAACATTTAGAAGTGTCTTGAGATTTCTTCAGGTTAATTGGACACCTACCCATTAATTATTGATTTAGCAATTTAGAAGAGGGGTTGTTTTTTTTAGAGATAGGAAGGGAAATAGCAGATTCAGGAACTGCAGTATGAACCTCTGTCCAATCTTGTCATTTATTTCTCAAACGTTCCTATTTTCCTCCAATCTGAGCAACAAGAGATCCAAGGTCTCTCCATACCTGATCTTTAAATAGGGCTGCCTTTAATGAAATGTTCTAAAAACTAACCACTCTTTCAACCTTGGAACATGCATAATATTATAGATTTTTTTTATACTGTAACCTGGGGGCTGTAATGTACTGATAGTGTAATGAAATGTCAGAGCTAAAATTGATGTTTTCAGCATTTCTTTGCACACATCAAATTCTTGTGAAACTGTAAATGTATGGGACTATTAATATTATAATTATATTACAGTAAAAGTAAAGGATCTTTGACATTCAATATGAGTAAAAAAAAGGGGTGGGGTCCAATTTCTCTCTACTCTGTGCCTTTATGTGCCATTTCTTTGGATACTACTGATTTTGTTTTTTATAGTCTTATGTTCTCTAGGTGGGTCCCAGTTTAGCCATAAACGGAATCATTAATAAATCACCTAAGCATGAGAGGTCAAAGTTCAGATGTAATTTTTCTACATTTATGTAGATGCTGGAATAATTTCATATACAAGTATACTCTTCTTGAATGAGCCTACATTGAAATACTACAGTGTTTGTGCTATGACAGGTGAAGGTTATTTATGTATTTGCCTGTATTTGTAATATTTTCTTCATGTGGTCGATATCTGAAATTGACTTTTTTG